TATACTGACCAGCTTTGCTGATAACTGTACTGAAAGGGTCCTCTGGTGCTTGGCGGCAGACTCCACCAACAAGCAGTCCACTGCACGTACACCCTAGGCCAGCTCCCCACCCCCCCACCCCGCCCTGACCTGCACTCTTGTTTGTTACCTCACTGCATCAGGTTCTTAACTGCTTACCTTCTGGCGCCCGTTTCCCTATTTTTTTTTCCTTGCCTCCTTTTTCTTACTCTCTTCAACTTAAACGTTCTGGTAAAAACAAAATATAGGTAACATTTCCTGCCATGGCACTGACCTTGAGTACCTTCCAGAAGATATTTTTATTGCCTTTCGTTTCATTATAGTTGACAAAATACCTGGAATTAGATTCCTTTTTCCCAGGATTTGGTTGTTAGCTGTTTATTTCAATACCAGATGGTATTTTCTGATTAAAATTATCTAAAAGTGAGTTGATTCTTAAGACCCTTTTTGATATTACTGGATCACTTTGGATCATGAGTCCTGTATGCCCCTACATTGAGAGGAGATGTAAACTGAAGCTTTGAAAAGTTGACACCAAACACAGGAAGTGAAGCAATCACTGCCCTTCAGACTAATAATCTATTGGTCTTAAGATGACTTTTAGTTTGAGGGAATATATAATTTCCTTGAAATTGCTAGTCCTAGAAAAAGCCACAGTTATTTTTCCTGGATTACTATGTTGTCTTCAATTTTGATGTGAGAGCAAAGAACAGATTGTGTCCAGCCCAAGTTACATTTATAAATTCCAACAATTGTTCTCTTGTAGACTTTAGCAAAAAAAAAAAAAATTTATAGAGAAAAGACTTTTAAAGTCTTCCTCCCAGCCCTCCCAATTATAGTTGACAGTTTAAGCTCTAACAAGTGTGTTTGAGCACAGTCTTTGGTAAAGTAGCTAGTGTTTCATAATCAATTTTGGGGATTTGAACTACATCAGAGAAAATTCATGATACCATTCTGTAAAGTCTGTTAGACAACTTCTGTCAGTGAACATATAAGGCTCATGAGTATCAGTTCCTCTACTAGGAACTCAAGATGATGAAAATAAACTATGAACCAGGGAAATTCAATCTCTACCAAAATCCTGGCAGCCTCTTTTGCAAAAATGGAAAAGTTGATCCTAAAATTCATATGGAATTGCATCAGGACTCTGAATAGTCAAAATGATATTGAAACAGATGGATAAAGTTAGAAGACTTATGTTTCCCAATTTTAAAAATCTACAGTAGTTGAAACAATATGGTACTGGCATAAGGGTGGACATATGGATCAATAGAGTGGAATAGACAATCCAGAAATAAATTCACACGTCTATAGTCAATTGATGTTTGACAAGGATACGAAGACCACTCAATGGGAGAAGGAGAATTTCTTCACCAGATGGTGCTGGGACAACTGGATATCCACATGGAAAAGAAAGTTGGATCCTAACCTCACACCATATACTAAAATTAACTCAAAATAGATCAAAGACCCAATCGTAAGAGCCAAAACTCTTAGAAGGAAACAAAAGGCTAAGTATTCATCACCTTGGATTTGGTAGTGGATTCTTAGAAACGATATCAAAAGCATAGGCAACAAAAGGAAAAATGGGAAATCTGGACTTCATCAAAGTTCAAAACTTTTGTGCAGCAAAGGACACTATTAAGAAAGTAGAAAGACAGTCTACAGAATGGAAGAGAATGACTTTCAAATCTGATACGGACCTAATATGCATAATATATTTTTTAAAAACTCTTACTACTCAGTGTCAAAAGACAAACAATTCAATTAAAATATGGGCAAAAAACATAAGATGGTCAGCATTATTAGTTATTTAGTAAGTACAATTTAGAATCACAATGCAATAGATACCACTTCACACCCACAAGTATGGCTGTAATTTTTTAAACCCCAAACAAACAGAAAATAAGTGGTGATGGAGATACAGAAAAATCAGAGCTCTCATATTTTGCTGGTGAGAGAGTAAACTGGTGTAGCCACTGTAGAAAACAGTTTGGCAATTTTTCAAAAAACTAAATATAGAATTACCATATGAGACAGCAATTCTACTTCTACGTATTTACCCAAAATAATGGAGGGCAGGCATTGAAACAAACACTTGTTCACAAATGTTCATAGCAACACTATTCACAGTTGCCAAAAGATAGAAACCACCCAGAAGTCTATCAATGGATGAATGGATGAACTAAATGTGGTATATCCATCAAATGGAATATTTTTCAGCCATAAAAAGGAATAAGTACTGACATCATGCTAAGTAAAAGAAGGCAGACAGAAAAGGTCACGTATTGTGTGATTGCATTCATATGAAACATCCAGGAAGGTAAATCCTTAGAGACAGTCAAGCATATTAGTCGTTGGAGGGGTCGGAGCAGGGGAAATAGTAGCGACCGCTTAATGAGTTCGGGGTTTCATTTTGGGAGGACTAAAAATGTTTTGGAACTAGGTAGAGGTGATGGTTTTACAACATTGTGAATGCCATTGAATTGTATACTTTAAAATAGTTAATTTTGTTACATCAATTTCACCTCAATTAAAAAAATAATTACATCATATAGTTTTTGTGATCTCATAAATAACAGTGGCTTTGCTGTCATAGTTACCTTGTGACTGTTGGAACCCATGTGCTTTATACCACTAGTACATTGGGAAAGTTCTTTCCACCTGTGGGCAGGAAAACTTGAAGATGGACTATCCCAAGTGGGTTTCTTTTTAAAATAACAGTTAAGGAATATAGTTTTTCTTTTCCTTTTTATTTGTAGAAGCTGGTAAAACTTCTATCTTGAATGAGCCCTAGATTTTAAAATGTGATCTAGCCTGATATTGGTTGGTTTCTTTAATTACCTTGAAAAAACACATTAAAATAACTTTATATTATTTGGAGATGGAGCAGCTTCTGGTTTTATAAAAATTAAGAGTAATTTTTAAAAAAATCTAGGATATACATGTGGAACTGCGGTAAGATTTTCCTGATTGTTTGCTATTCTGCACTGCTGGAGATTTTTTTTGACACTTTATCTAAAACTGTCACAAGTAATTTCTATTGTCAATGAAATCGGTGTCAGGAATAAGAAATTTCTGTTTTAGATCAATCAAGCAGAGATTGTGCAAAAACTAAAAACCTTAGCTTCTTATTTTTATCTTACACTTGTTTTGTTTTTTTGAAGGAGGGACTTTTAGGTTAGATTCCGGCAAAAGGCCTGAGACTGAGAAGCGCTTCTTACTCAGAAAGGTAGAAATGCTTTGCCATTGATCACGAAGCTTTTCTTGAGTAAAGTTGATGCATCTACTCCACAGTCCTGCTTCTGCCCTTGTTTTACGTAGAGTTGTTTCTCTAGCAGATGTGCCAGTTGTCTTGCGCAGTCCCACCTGATTCCTGTTATGATCCAAAATATGCCACTCAGGCCAAGAGTTTGCAGACATAAAGCAAACAAAGCTAACGGGTTTGTGGTAGATTGAACCCACAGCTTTTGGCATCGTTAGCATCATGTCCCAGTCAACTGAACTAGAGAGTGAAAGAATCAATGCCTTGTTGAGTCAGGGCTTTGTGATTTTAAAGTTAGAAGCAACCTGGTAATCATAGCAAACTATCCGGAATAAATTTAATAAGCTGAGTAGGGAGTGAATGTGAGTATTCAGCTTAAAGTATTGCTTCTGACTTCCATAAAATTAAGATTTCCTTTTTGTGATGTGCACCGGGTAATTTTTTAAAATAAGAAAAAAAAATCAATCTTTAAGTTGTGGAGAATTAAAAGTTAAGTTTTTCAATAAGGTATTAATCCAAAAAGAGCTAATTTAACCAGACATTGAGCTCCTATACCATGACAGCAGTAAAAGGAAGTGAAATAAGTGGATGAGACTCACGCAAGATTACATTTGCCCAGGAACCTCTGCCTATGAACAGGTATTAGTGCATTTCCTGCCCAATTTACTTAAATGCTTTCTGTGCCTTAGTTTCCCCATCTGGGCAATTTGAATACTAGAATCCACCTCATAGAGTTGCTTTAAAGATATAATTAATGTCGTTAAAGCTCTTAGAACAGTGCCTGACACAGAGTTAAAGCTGGCTTTGTGTATGTTAAAGACGTAAGAATCATGGTGAAAAATAAATAGGAGATATTTTGGTGAGGGGTGCTTTTCTGAGGGGCAAACTTGTTTACATTCACAGATACTCATAGTCCCAATCCTCTCTAGTGTACCTATGCACTGTTCTGTTTGAAGTTCTGAGATCCTCAGGTATACTCTCTTTAGGGCTATTTTACTGCTAATGACATCTCAACCAAAGGAAATGCTTTGGGAAAGAAGTAATTTTAAGATTGCAAGAAGCATCTCTGGTGGTTTGTTGAAAACATAGTTACTGTCTAATTTTTTCACCAAGAGTTACTGTGTCCCTCATTGGCTCTGGGCAGAAGGGGCTGACACTAGGGTAATGGTCAGAAACAAAGATGCAGATAACATAGTTCTGGGGCTGGAACTCACAACTTAGGCCATTCTGGTACCGCTAGACTCCATGGCAGGAAAAACGCAGGGCTTTGAATGGAAGGGCGTCAGGAAATAGCACATCCTTGATGGTGTGCATCCTTGAAGTTGTAAGGCCACAGATCAGTTAATGTTATCATTTCTAGTAAGCCATTTCAAACTTAGCTAGGAGGGAGAAATGGAAACTCGCTGGTGGAAAGAGGGTTACAATTACAGCTTCTAAAGAGTCGTCTTGTTCTGATCTATTACGGGAGACAACTGAGTTTGCGTTACTTCCATTTATATTTTTCATTTTCTGCTAGTGTTTTAAATAGTTTTAAATGGCTAGTTTGTATTTTAATGACCTCTTTTTTACTCTCCCCACCACATTTGCTTTTCTGTTTGTGTGTAGTTCTGGTGAAAATGAATTAGGAAAGGAGACTGACGAGATTGGGTAATGCAGCTTCCTAGAATATACTTTATCTTTTTTCTCATGCAGTGATGATGTGCCGCTTCTTTTACAGGGCTGAATTGCAACTGCAGAAGCAACAACAAGTGAACCTTTAAAGATGTACATGGGCTGCATAAAGTGAAGAGAGAAACTGGAGGAACCAATGAAGTAAGAAAAAAGTATGTGTCCCAGGTAAATAGTATGCTTCTGAATTTTAGCAGGTTTCTTGCTGAACAATTGCCATAATATTTAGTCCTTGTATTGCTGTTAAACTGTTTTTAATTTTCTCCTTCAGTTTTTAGTGCTGAGCTCTTTGATCACATGATTCTTTTTAAAATTAATCTAAAAATCTGTATTGAACATGGAATTTAGGTTATTTCTTAGGTGACCTAGGGACCTATTATATCTTAGGTTGATCATTGGGTACTATAAAAGCAGAGGTATGTGCTGTGTCTCTGTGATGTGCAGGTTTTGTCTAAGGTCAACTTTTTATTTGTGTGCAGGACTTACACTTCTGCTTTATTAAATGACTGCCTTGAAAAACCAGAACAGTAGTTTGAATACCAATTTTCTAAAGCTATATTCTACAAGGTGGGTGCCACTGTCCTCAGAAATAGGAAGCATCTTTCAGTATCTTCACTTGATGAAATAGATGTGTCCTAGTAAAGTTTTATAATTACTTATTTTAGTTGGCAACTCAACTTATTCTGTTATTCAGCCATTCACAAGCTTAGACTTCAGGGTTTTTTAGTTGTTGTCATCAACATTTTTTAAGTAAAAGAAATCTACTACCTTACTCTTCATTATAAAGTCAAGAGCCTTTTTCCAGTATTCTGTGTAGAAATTTTTGGGAAAAAAAGCAGAGGAAATTAAGTCGGTCATTGGTGGTAGTGGTGCTGGAAGGTTTGTGCACAGCAGGCTCACTTAGACATGGCAACATCACTCCTTTTCCACAAGCCAGAGGCCGCCCAGCCCATGGGAAACTGTAGCTTCTGGAATGTTCTGCCTTATGGTGGATGTCTTCCAGCTAGCTCTTTCTTTAACTGAGTCATCAAGTTGAGTAAACACTATTTAGTGGTATTGTATATCAGTCCTCTAAACTAAATATTGCATAAGACAAGTTTATTTGCAAGTAAACTTGTACACACATTTTCTAATGCTCATCATCACATTGACTCCTGCCTCATGTCTCCTCCAGGAGAGCCACATGGCCTCTGCCCTTCTCCTCTATCAGGTCTCTGTGTGGGGACAAAGTTAATGGGAAGAACAAAGCCAATTTTCTGTTATATCCGTGTCTTTACCCAGTACCTGGCAACACGGAGCTATCTTGCCTAGCCCCTACCTTACCTCATTTTTCCCATTCCACTCCTACCTATCAAGTGTGAGGTTGTATTCTATACATCATGCCTTTTCTGTTTCACCTTTAAGATCTTTTCTTTTTTTTTCATTTTTCTTTCTTTCTTTTAAAATTAATTAATTTATTTTTTCAAATACATTTGTCTCCACCTTCCCCCCACCACTTTCCCCTCCCTGCCCCCTCAATCTTTCCCCACTTTGGCTTTGTCCATGAGTCCTTGCTGTATGTTCCTTGACTTGCCCCTTCCCTTCCTTTTCCCCTGCCCACCCCTACTTCCTTCCCTCTTGTCTCTGTTGGTTTCTTTCTTTCTTTTTTTTTTTTTTCCAGTGTTGCTGGTCTTCTTTTCCTTGCATCTTTGTTTTGTTGGTTAGGTTTCATTTACAGGTGAGATCATATGGTATTTGTCTTTCGCCCCCTGGCTTATTTCACTTAGCATAATGCTCTCTAGTTACATCCATGCTGTCGCGAAGGGTAGTAGTTCTTTTTTTCTTTTTGCTGCATAGTATTCCACTGTGTAAATGTACCATAATTTTTTGATCCAATCATCTACTGATGGGCATTTAGGCTGCTTCCAGCACTTGGCTATTGTAAATTGTGCTGCTATGGACATTGGGGTGCATAGGTTCTTTTGAATTGGCGTTTTGAGATTCTTAGGGTATAGTCCCAGCAGAGGAATCACTGGATCAAAAGGCAGTTCCATTTTCAGCTTTTTGAGGAAATTCCACACTGCTCTCCACAATGGCTGCACCAATCTGCATTCCCACCAACAGTGTGCTAGGGTTCCCTTTTCTCCACAGCCTCGCCAGCACATGTTGTTTGTTGATCTGTTTATGATGGCCATTCTGACCGGTGTGATGTGGTATCTCATTGTGGTTTCGATCTGCATTTCTCTGATGGCTAGTGATGCCGAGCATCCTTTCAAATGTCTCTGGGCCCTCTGTATCTCTTCCTTGGAAAAGTGTCTGCCCAGGTCCTTTGCCCATTTTTTTGATTGGATCATTTGTCTTCTTGGAGTGGAGTCGTGTGAGTTCTTTATATATTTCGGAGATCAAGCCTCTATCTGAGGCTTGTATCATTAGCAAATATATTTTCCCAGATCTTTTCATATTAATCTTTCACTCTTTGAGGCACATACTAGATAACTCAGCATTGCATTTCTAGGGATTTATCTCACATATAAGCTCATACAGGTTTGCGGGTAATCCTGTACCTCCTCGGCCCCTGTTAAACCCTCATGCATGCTTCCTGGCTCAGAGCACTTGGACAGAGACTGTCTCTCGCTGCCTTCATTCTGTTGTGTCCGCAGGTCATGTCCCCCTCCATGGGCAGCAACTTCTGCCAGTGTCTTGTGGTCCTTCCAAAGTATTTTGGTTTTTTCTTTCAAAATATGCAGTTCCTTTACTTTTAAAAAGTTCCTCTAAGTTTTTTGGTGGTTTGGTTTTTTTCTTTTTCTTTTTTATTTTTTGCCAATACTTAAATTTTTCTCTATTCTTTTTCCCACCGATAGACTATAGATTTTTTTGTGTAGTGATTTTGGCACATTTTCTAACTTCCTTGTATCTTGCAAGCAAAATAGTGTTGGATTTTTGTCTTCTGTTTAGCTAACCTTGAAGATTCTATAACTTAGGTGTGAATTTGTCATCTTTAATTTATGGTTAATAGTGCATTTGCTATGTTTTCTGTATATAATTTCTTAATTTTTGTATTTCTTGTCTCTTTTCTGTTCTGTTACATGGGATGCTTTCTTCTTTCCTTTTTAGTTTAAAACATTTTAAAGGTGAACAAACTTTTGAATTCTCTTATTGCTGAAAATAACATTTGTTTCTATATTTATTTACTATCGTTAAAGCAAAAACCGAACTTCCCTTTCCTCTCATATAAGGAAGCTCAAGTTTCTCCCTGTTTTGACATCCCCTCTTCTTGTTCTATATCTACCCCCATTATTTTTTCCTTTAACATTTTACATTTGTTTGACAAGGTGTACTAATTCTGAGCTTCAGCCTATTACTCATAAGCATTTTGCTATTTTTGATTTAGTGAATAATACTGAGGCCTCGCTCTGAGCTGGACAGACACTTAAGTAGGTGCAGGAGCTACAAAGATAAAGGCAGTCTGTTCCTGCCTTCCAAGTCCCCTTTCTGGTTGAGGAGGTGGCATGTGTGCAGATCAACAGTGACAGAAGATGTGATGTGTCAGGTGTCCTGGAGATACAGAGAGCAGGGAAAAGGGAGTGATGTTTGTTGAGTCAGCGAAGACATCCTGGTTGCTGAGTGCTACTGTACCAGCAGGGCTTTGTGAGAATATGGATAAACCTGAAAGTACTCAAGTTCATTGCCCAAGTTCATCAAAGCTTAAAGCTACCAAGTGGCTGGAAATGGGACTGGGCAAAGGGATGTTGGGGCCAGATGGTCAAGCACCTTGAATGCCTGGCCAACAAGTTTCAGTTTGTATCCTGTGGGCTGCACCACAAAGCCTTTAAAGAAGGGCAGCATCATGCTCATTTTGTTTTTAGAAAGAACTCTGTCGTGTGAAGCACTGCAGGGAGGAAGTCAGTTAAGCGGTGGTGGCAGACATCCAGGTGAGAGATGATAGAACCTGAACAAGGTGCTAGCAACAGTGATGGAGAAGAGAAGATGGGGTGTTTTGGGGCAGTGTAAAAATTCTAGTGTTTGACTGAAATGGGATTGGGAATTAGAGGGTGACTCAGAGGGGTTTTGTTTGTTTGTTTTAGGGAAGGTAATAAAAGACGGTGGAAATATTGACCAAATTATGGAGGGGGGCGTAAATTATGTGGAGGAGGTAGCAGAGGTTGATTCGGAGAGAGGCAGAGAAGAGTTTATTTTAGGACTTGGTGAATTTAAGAAACCTTCAAGAGATCTAGGAAGACATATCTGGGAGCACTTAGTAATAGGTCGGAAACAGATGAGACTTGGGGGCTGGAGATAAAGGTGTGAGAGGCACTTGCCCCACGGAGGATGTCAAAGCCAGAAGAGTAGATATAAAATCCTCCCCGACCCTGGGCAGAGAGTGTAGACAGAAAGTAAAAGATCACAGGATGGCCTCTTGGCAAAGACCAGTCTTTCTGTGTAGGAAATAGAAATGTACTGAGCACCGCGATACCTGTCCAGTATGGGGTGGCGAGAGCTTTTTCAAATGGCTTACTTTATCTTCTCAATAGCCCTGTGTGTGGAAATTATTACTACCCTATTTTTAGCCAGGAAACTAAGACTCCAAGGCATTGTTACCAAGCCAGCAAGTGAGATTGCACACCAGGCCTGGATGCATGTCAGTGCTTAGAGGAAGAGGTGAGGCAGAGGCAGAACAGAGTGGTGTAGAAGAGGTGACTTTCTACAGGGGACAGTGGCCAGCATGGCCATACACCCAGAGGTCCAGCTGGATAAGGAGGACTAAGCCAAGGTTTTTTGCAGCTAGAAAACTGATAGTGATCCCAGTATGCCCAACCCCACCGTGTACCTAAGTCAGCTCGCACTGAAGTTAGAGGAGCCGAGGAGATGCAGACAGTGGCTGTTGACTGCAGCTCTCAGAGACAGCTCGTTGGTGGAGGAATGACAAGGGCACCTGGTCTTGGTGTGTGTGGGGGTGTGGGGTGGGAGGGAGCGGCATCATTTTGTCTGTTTACAGAAGACAGCTTGAAGAATTCTGATTTGCTCATCCTTTTTTTCTTTGAGGTCTTATATCTTAAGATTATCTTGTCTCTGGGCTTCTGTTACTAAGAAGAAAAAAAAATCAGGGTAACTGCTGGATTCCCTTTCACATAATCTGCTCGTTTAACTTGTTTACGCAGAGTTTTGGGGTTTTTTTTCTCTTTTCCTAC